ACAGCCAGGGAGGGAAGGGGGACAGCCAGGGAGGGAGGGGGGACAGCCAGGGAGGGACGAGTGTCAGGTGGATGAGGGTTCCTGAGCTGGGGGCCAAGCGGGGGGCTTGCAGGGCTCACTCAAGCAGGTGCAAGCATATTTAATAAGATCAGTCAGGCTGTTTAACAGAAGGGGCTTTGCCACTCAGCTCAGCTCGTTACCGTGTTTTGAGGTTCAGATTTAGGCTGAGGAAGGCTCAGCCTCCCCCTCTGAAGCAGCATTGCCTGCTCAGTAGTGCCCTCTGCAGGGGAACGGGGTCTGCAGATTCTGCTCCCAAGCTGAGAGTAATTTGACTACAAGGAACTGAGAATCTTTTAACCAGTGGTGTAAATCTGTTTGTTTTTAAGGTTGAAAATCCTGTGGCTCACGCTGTGTCAGTTTCACAATCAAGTGGAAATTGAGGTTTGTAAAGATACAGTGTTACACAAGGTTCCGCTGGAATGCACCTGTGGATCCAATGTCATCTGCATGGTTACAATGTTCTGTTTATCTCTGTAGATACAATGTTGCACAGTGTTAATGCTGGTGTCTGTGCAGATGCAATGTCACAGGTGTTCCCCTGGATGTAATGTGACACAATGCTGTGTTGGTCTCTGCCCAGGCACCATGTTGTGTCCTCTCTCTTGCTTTGAACCCTTTCCATTTCTCATGGCTCCTTAGAGGTGCTTCCCAGTGGTTTTGCATCAATCACTTTGTGTCTCTTGTGTGACTTTTTATCCATCCAGATAGGATTTTTAAATCAACAGGAAGTTAAACCTTCATTCTTATATCATGGTTAGCATAGCTTAAGGGCATGTGAAATTGACACACATGCAATTAAGGATTCTTTTGGCTTGTATCTCCCCCTGATCGTAGCACTGCTGAAATCATACTGCTGAATTTATCATTCCTCCACCCTCTGTTTAATACTTGATCAGACCAGGTAGACTGCCTCCCAGTTTTCAGCCCATCTCCAAAGTCACGACACCCCTGCTCCCTGCTCAGATGAGGATGGTCCCGTTCACACGGCCTGTGAATTTCGCTGAGTAGATAAGGAATCGTTTATTTCCTTAAAAGGGGAACTAACTTGCTCCTCCTACACCTGAAAGTGAAACATGAGTTTTACACAACGTAGAGCGTTTGATTGCTGCCTCCCAGCAGGCACCACAGAGTAACACTGACTTCATCAAGGGGCCCAGCCCTCAGCCAGGCTTTTCATTTCAGTAGAACATAAGCCACTTAGTTATAAAGGACTGAGCCAAAAGGGCCGCGGCCCGAGTCCAAGGGCGGCAGGCCCACCACGCGGGTGTTCTTATGTGACTTGTGGCTGGCGGCTGGGAGGCAGCGGTGGGGAGGGAGACGCTCTGTGTCAGACCTGGTGTCTAATTTCAAGGGTTGAAAAGAAACTGTATGGCTTTGTAAATCCCTCTGAATTCTTTCCTGTGCCACTCTTATCAGATGCAGTTGACATAGTTCTAAAAATGTAGCCGTGCATGGAAGGCCGTAACTACAGGACGAGAACGGGTGGGAGGTCGGTCAGGTCTGCGCTCATGAATGTCTGCGTTAAGGGAAAGGGGCTTGGTGGTGGCCTTCGCCTTTCCTGCACGGAGTGCAGCACACTGCGTGCACGTCAGTCATGCAGCACATGCTCCCGAGGTGACTCTCTGTGCTCTCCAAATGCGGCAGGTGTCAGCAAGCTATGAGCAGCCATTTATTTAGAAACAATTTGCTGTTATCCACAACACGAAACTGAGACCTTTAGAAACGGAAGCACATGCGTGATTCTTCTGCATCCAAAGATTAAGCCTGTGTGTGAAGTTATGATACGCTGCGCTGGCTTCTGTGTCAGGGGAAGTGACAGCTTTGAAGGGGATTCTAGGGGCAGGTGCCGACAGATCTTAACTTGTCGGCCTCGCGATCGTCACTTGCGGGGCGACGGTGGGGCGGTGCTCATGGTGCTCACGCAGGTAATGCCGCTCCTCTGTGTGCTCAGTTCCTGCCCGTGTACAGCCCCTCGGAGGAGGAGAGGAAGGACCCCGCCCTGTACGCCAGCAACGTGCGGCGCGTGATGGCAGAGTGAGTACACGGCCGGCCCCCGCGGCTGGCTGGCGGTGTCCACGGGACGCCCCGATGCCCTCGGCCTCCCTGAGTGTTCACTGCTCAGTGTTCATGCCCAGCCGCCCGCAGCTTTCCTCCTCCACTGTCATCTCATTGCTGTAAAAGCAACCAGCAGCATCGGGAAGATGTGCTCGGCCAGCCTGGGCCAAGTAAAGGCCAGAGTGTGCTTGGCTGCACACTTTGTCTCCTGCTTTTGTTGAAGGACATTTCTGTTTGTCCAACATTTGGAAGGCGGTTAATTGCCACTGAATCCTACAAATTGCACCCATTCCCGTCGGTCATTGGTCTCCCTAGGGGCCACGTCCGTGTGCATCCCCGATCTCAGGCAGCAGGGCCACGGTCAGAGCGCTGGCCTGCACAGACTGGAGGGTCTGGGGTGGAGCACCCTTGACTCTGCTGTCTGTCTGTGTAATGCCATTAAGGCTCTGATTCCATCCTGCCGAGCTGGGTGTGGCATCTGATCCTAGCTGTGTGCACCTGATCTCGTAACATGCCTCCCATCACTTCCACGACGGCACGCATGCGGTTGCAACATCCTCAGTGTCTGTTCACACAGCTCCTGGCTTGTTTCAGGTTGCGGCAGCCTTGGCCCTCACCCCTGACTGCCTCCATCCCTCCACGTCTGCCCTTTCTCCTCTCGTCTCCCAGGCGGGGGCTGCCTCTGCGTTTGGCCACTGCAGTGCTGGGAGGGGCGCTTAGACCGTGTCCCCCGTGGGGAGCACGCAGCTACAGGGGGTTGGGGTGCTGCCTCTGCCCTGGTGTGACAGGTTCTAAAGGAAGCCCCACCTCCTCATGCGCGCCATCCCCTCTTCGGCACATCCCGTGGGCCTGTGCTGAGCAAAATCACGTATTCACCTCAACACACATGAATCAAACTCAGCAAGGAACTCAGTCTGCCCACGCGCCCCGCGGAGTGTTAGGCACCAGGTGTCCAGGGGAACATGCCCCCTCCTTGGGCTCCCGCCCCCGGGGAGTCCATCACCCTTCCCTGAACCACACACCAGGACGCAGAGCAGCCAGAAATCAGGATACACTTGCCCCTGGGGAGACAGGGTGCTCGGGGTCACTCCCGATGAGCCTCTTGATAAAGAAACCATATCACAGAATCACAGGCCTGACAAGTTAGACGTAATGTTTTTTTTTAGTTTATGCTCAAATAAATTAACTATTAAATATTTTAAAATATGTATTCTAAAGAAACTCTTATGACGCCCCACACTCTGTTAATGGAGATGCACCGTGTTCAGTGGAGAAGGGCAGATGGCCCGCCAGGTGCACCCTGCCTCACAGCGCAGCAGGACTCTGGAAACACGGGGGTGGGCTGCCACCTCCCTGGCCCTCAGCCCCACCCAAAAATGTGCCTGGGAAGGGCCCACATCTGGGCGGGCCCCAGCGTCATCTCGCCCCTGTGGGATACTCAGAGAGCTCCCTGCGAGGCTCTGCCTTCTGTCCCCACTCGACCAGGCCTTAGTGCCCCAGGGGCGTCTTAGCAGCCACGGAAGGAAGGAAGCCTTCGAAGTCTCTGCTTCCTCGTTACCTGGCCGCACGCGGCGCTGCCGCGGCGACAAGGAGCTGCCGGCATCCCCGTCCCCCGGGACCTGTCGGCGGCTCCAGGACCCCCAGATGCCACATCCCGTGTGTAAACTGGTGGGGGCGGGGGTGTGGGCCCCTCAGGTGCCGAGGGCCACCTGCACCGCCAGAATGCGGGACGGCCCAGCCAGTCCTTGGGCTGGGGGCGCTTGGCGAGTTTCCCGTCGTGGATGTGCTGTCTAATCTCAGGGAAAAGCCGCTTGTCAGGGACTCTGACAAGCTGTGCAGAACGGCTGAGCTCTGACTCCATCTGACTTCAGGGCGGTGCCCGCCCTGACAGCAGTGGCCCCTCCTGCGGCAAAGATGTGTTGAGCTGAATTAAGCACCCCTGTGGGCGGCGTCACGCTTATAGCACCAGACGCAGGCCAGTGGGCAGAAACCACGTGGCACCGCATTAGCCACAAAGCTGGGGCACCCCAGGTCCAAGGAACTGAAGTTTGGGGTCGGTGCTGCATACGGACGCTCAGCATCGCCCTTCCACACACCGTGGTGTCCAGAGCCCTGGCCACCCAGTGACTCCCGTTAAAACTCCTGCTGGTGGCGGGGGGTGGGTATGCTCATCCCACAGGCTAAGGGAGGAGGCTGGGCTGAGGGTCTGGGTTCAGGAACCACATCACCCTACCCGCAGCCCCGCTGTCCTGTCCTGTCTCCTCCTTCCAGGTCCTGCTCAGCTGGCCCAGATGTCCCTTCTAGGAGGGGACAGATGGAAGGGCCCCACTCTGGTGGGGGGCGCTGCTCCCCGAGGACATGTGGCCACCCCTGTTTGTCGCTCAAGGGCGTGACGGCTCAGGGAGGACAAGACGCCCTCTGGTTGGGGGGGAGCTGCCTGCACCCTCTGACCTGGAGGGGGTTTGGAAGCGAGGTCGTTGCTGGTGTCTCGGCACGTTCCTCCCGTCCAGCCCTTGTGGGTTTACCCGCAGGAAGGTGCGACGCAGTGCGCCCTCCCTCCATTCCCAGCCCTCGGCACTCGCTTGGTCAGAGTGTCCGTAATCCGCCTGCCAGGCTGGCAGGGGCAGGGGCGGCAGGGGGCGCTCGAGCCTGGAGTGCGAGACCCAAAGACTGCTCAGCCGGTGTCTTCATGCATTTGTGGACGTTAGTCTTGCCTTTAAACGCAGCCTCCCTCCTGATGCCAGGTCCTCTGGTTCTTTCTCAAGGTCAAGCGTTGATAGCCGCCCCCTCACAGCACCCCACCCCCAGCCCTTTAAACCCAGGGGCTGCACCGTGCAAGGCCGCCCACGTCTCGACTGCCCCTCCGCGTCTCAGCCGCCGGGTGGTTCCCATTCTTGGGAAACTGGTTCTTTTCATGACTTCACTTCTACTCTAGACACGACCTGTATTATCAATTTTTCTTTTAATGTTTAACCAAAGTAAGTTTTACGGAGGCTACAAACTTAACACAAGGAAACCTCAGCAGAAGTGTTGTTCACGACGCAGGTAAATAACTCGGGTCCCACAGAAGGAGGAGCTTCCTTTTTAAAACGCACCCATTCTCGTGAACAAACTGCTCGTGGATGCCAGGAGGGTCCCAGAGCGGGGGGGGACGCTTAGGTTGGCAGACGTCACGGCCACAGGGAATTCTGCCATCAAAGCTGAGCCCGGAGAGACCGCGTGGAGGGTCGCGGGAATCGGGGCCTGTGTGTGTGAGGTCCTCCTGGCTCTGCTGCCCCGAGGGCCAAGGGGACAGTGGGGGCAGCTGCGTGCAGGGCAGCTAGCGGGGGCGCCCTCCTCTCTTGCAGGGCCCTGGGCGTGTCCGTAACTGACTACACGTTTGAAGACTGCCAGCTGGCCCTAGCGGAAGGCCAGCTCCGCCTGCCCGAGGACACCTGCCTTCTAGAGTTTGCCAGGCTGGTGAGGGGCCTGGGGTGAGTTCCCGGTTATCCTTCCTCCTGAGGGCTTCAGGGGGAACGGTGGGCCCTGGAAGGCGGTGCCAGGTGGGGGCTGTGGGCACTTGCGACAAAAAAGCAAGATTGTTCAGCATAGGGGACAGCCTGAAAGTGCCACTGAGAGGCCTCTCGCCAGCCCAGAAGCTTCGTCAGGCCCCCGCAGGGTCCCCGCCGGGCACTCGGGGACCGAGCTGGAGGCACAGGCAGCAGGCGATGGGGAGGTACTTGGTGGTGCTTCTTCTGAGGTTTGGGGTTTTTCTTTTTTCAAACACCAACTTCATTCGACGCAGAAGTAAGCGTCTTGAGCCCCTAATGGTCGGCACCGCCGTCTCTTTTTGGATGCCTGAACCCCCGCCCCGCCAGGACCGTCCGGGTTCACAGACGGACCTGCCAGAGGGTGGGGCCCACACACCTGAGTGTCAGTGCGTGTGCAGACGCTCACGCCGGACACACCGGACACGCCGTGCCCAGACCAGCCGTCGTCTTGAAGGCTGGCTGCCGTCAGTCTCTAATTCTAGTATCTTTTGGCTCTTCAAACATAGCGGTACATCTCCCTCATTTAGCATTCTTTAAATCTTTCCCTTGTTTTCTGTGTAGGCTAAAACCAGAAAAACTTGACCGAGCTCTGGACAGACACGCGGAACGTGCTGGGGCGAAGCCGGGCGGGAGGGTGACGCTCCCCGAGTTCGCCGCGCAGCTGGGGGTCCCCGTGTCGGAGGCGCTGGAGGACCTGTTCTCCCTGTTTGACGAGGTGGGGCCCTGGGCTGGGGGCAGCTATGTGCCCCAGGACGGGTGCATGCTGCAGGCGACCCCAGAAGCGGAGGGGGATGACCCCCCCCGCCGCCCCCCAGCCACCCTGTCTTTGGGGTGTTTCCTCCATGCTTTTAAATGCACATAGAATTTTGGCTTTTAAATCAACGTTTGCTGATAAACATGCTTGTAGTTTGGGTTTTTTAAAGACGGTGGCTAAAGGCCTGTGACATCGCACAGCCACGCTGGCCTGGCCCGCGGCCCCTGCCCCAGAGGCCTCTGCCGACCCTGTGTGGCCAGTCTGCAGAATTTCTGAACAGCGGCCTCCTCTCCTGAATGGCCAGGGGTCCCCTCAGCCTCTTGTCTGGTGCGTGGGCTTCTCCCTGGCACAGCACTCAGGCCCTCCTGCACCCGCACTTCGGCAGGGAGACACACTCTGGCTGAGCAAGGAGGCAGCGTTCACAGCCCCTCGGCCCTCAGGGCCCCGGGAGGAGCGGGCGGACACGGGGCCAGCCTGTCAGGACCACGACTCCCGCACACGCGTCACCGCACAGACACGCGTGCTGAGCCCTGCAGGAGCCGACCCGCGGCAGGGGGTGTGGCGGGCTCCTCCGGCCGTGACTGTCCCACGTTAACAGCACAGCGTGTCCCAGGCGACAGTGTTGTGTGTTCAGAGTGACAACACAGCGTGTGCCGTGGGACCACAGGAGCAGCCGCAGTGGCCTGTGGTAGAACTGAGGCGGGTGGGGTGGCCGCTGGCACAGGAGACCCCCCAAGAGTTTGCAGACTGTGCAGGAAGCTTCAGCCACCTTGGAGAAACAGTTGGTTGTGAACATTCTTCCAAAACACTCTTCACTCATTTGTTGGCAAATGCCCCCAAGTCAGAGTGGCCCTAACCTCTTAGCTAACAGCCAGCGATGGCGCTGAGCCCAGCTGCCCGTGCCCGCGCGGGTGGCGGGGCTGGCGCCTGACGGTGTCTCTCCGCAGGGCGGAGGCGGCGAGATAGACCTGCGGGAGTACGTGGTCGCCTTGTCCGTCGTGTGCCGGCCGTCCCAGACCCTGGACACCGTCCGGCTGGCATTCCAGGCAAGTGCGGCGCTGACGTGAGTTGCATGTGCAGGGACGGGCTTGTGGTGCGTCTGTAGTCCCTGTGACACTGGCACACGGGTTATTTGCCCCACTGCTGTTTTCACGGAAGCATCTACGGACCGTTGTTTGTGAAAGTGCCCGCGAACCTCTAGGCAATCTCTTCCTGGAATCGGTGGTCCATGCTTGGAAGGAGGGCTTGGAGGAGGGTCTTCCTGAGTCCAGGGCATCTGAGCGGGACTGGTGGGTACCACACACCACCGTGTGCAGTCCCGCATCTATCAGCTCTTCCAACATAGCCTCCCCGTTAGCCATTGATGGAGGAAAGCAGGGCTTAGGGAGTTAAGGTGCTGCCTGCCCCAGCGGAGCCGAGCCAGGCCCTTCACCATGGGCGCAGAGAGTCTGGGAGCCGGAAGGCCCGTGACGGGGTCCCAGCCCACCTGCAGATTCACCTGGCTGCCCTGAAGGCTGGGCTTGCCAGGTCAGTGACTTAAGATGGAACTGGGCAGCCTTTGTCCGCCAAGAGACACGAGTCTGCCAGGGTCTCACTGTGGATTTGTCTCCCAAGTACAACTCACATTAGCCTGACTCATGAGAACCTGATGTGTGAGTCAGGAAGCGACTGTCACTTACTGCGTGGAGAACCCCCGTCTCTCACTCCTGACCCAGCAGACCCTCTCCCTGGCACACCAGGAGAACCCCCCCACACTGCAGGGTGGCTTCTGTGGGTCATGCCAGGGGAATTAGCCGGGTGGGTCAATCCTTGGTAGTGCCCTGCCCGAGGAAGCCTGGCCCCTTCCTCCAGCTGGGCAGGGATCTCCCAAGGCTGCCAGTGGTTCATCACCCCGTGGGGGCTTGCCTACGCCACACCCCATCTGGTGGCCCCACGGGCGGTGTTTCTGTTGTCACCAGTGGGATCTGCTTCAATGACAGTGGCTGGCGGCTTGTTTCTCAGTAAACAACCGACTGTGGGCCTGACCTTTCTCAGGAGGCGCTGCCCAGCTCCCACCTGAGGGCAGGCGGAGGGGGCTGCAGGGGAGGACGGCCCCGCCCAACGGGGCGGAGAGCGCGGCCAGCGCGTCCCCTCAACAACCTTCCCTGTGGGGCTCACGCCGAGGTTACCAGCACACGCTGCCCCGGCTGAGCTGGGGAAGCACCTGGGCGCCCCCCGCAACGCAGCGTGTTCTGCCGTGTGGACGCCCTGCCCGGCGTGAGGTTGAGGTCTCAGGGGCTCCTGGCCTCCCCGTCACAGTGAGGAGCCTCTTTCTGTCCCTGCCTGCAGCCCCGGACAACCGAGTCCCCGGGCACATCGGGGCGGGGCGCCCCCGGGACCTGGTGGGGGGAGGGAGGTGAACGTCGGTGTCGCCCTGCAGAGGACGTGCGCCCGAGGCCTCCTCGTTTCACAGTTAAAGCCCCTCCTGGGCTGGCAGTGAGGACACGCCACACGTGCGGGGTGCTTAGCTCCTGAGGTGTGCGCCTGCCCCGGGGCATCCCCGAGGAGCTCACAGACTTCCGGGCCTTTGTTTCTGCCTCCTGTTGCTCCTGCTCGAGGGACTAGTAGTGCTGGTGTTGTCAGTGCCCGCGCCGCCGCTGCCCCGTACAACCGCGGCGTCCGCGCGTGATGGGTCCTGAGCGTCTGCCTCCCCGTCAGCAGCCCAGTCCCTCCTGACGTGGCCCAGACAGACTTCAGAATCACCTTCTGGATGGAGAAATAGAAGTCCTCTCCTCTGAATGTTACAGCGTCAGACTCCAGGGCAGGCGCCTGGCGGGCCACCTGCCCGTCAGCACGGGTCGGGGAGGCGCCCGGGCTGGGCTGCAGGCCTGGCCGGGGAGGCTGAGTGGAAGGGCGTGACCGGGGGCTCTGGAATGTCCCAGAGGGCTCAGTCTCCAGATGCAGTGTTCAGCAAGTCTAAAGACAGGAGAGAAATGCGGCTGAAGAGGGCCCGGGGCTGCCAGCTCCACAGACGGTGCGACCTGAGGCCAGGGGCGCGAGGGAGGGCCTGGTGACACAGACGCAGGCAGGGAGCGGGAAGTAGGTGGCCACTGCCAACACGGGCAGCTAAGCAGAAGCCACTGGAAAGGGCGCGGTCAGCAGGCCCGTGCCTCCTGAAGGCCGAGCGGTGGTGGCCAGTTTGTGCCATTGAGCAAAAGGCCCCGAGAGCCCACGTGTGCCTGGCAGGGCTCAGGGCGCTGCCCGGTGGGAGGACAGGCACCCCCACCCCGGAGCCCACCTCCAGGTGGGAGGGCAGCGCGAATGCTCCAGACGGCTCAGGGTCGAAGGAGCAGCTTGATCGGGGGTCCCCGGGTCTCAGCACCCATGGGAGGCAGGCGGAGGTTGGAGCCACGGAGCCGGGGAGGGAAGCCCGCAGACGGGGAGCAGGGCGTGTGGGGGCCAGCCCCCCACCTCCTGCAGCCCCGATCAAGCTTGGAAGTGGCAGGGCGCTGCCCGCAGACCTGGGCAGGAGGAGGAGGAAGTTCAGAAGTTGGGGCAGCAGGACATAAGGGGCTTGTGTGCTGGTCTCAGCCCATAAGGGGCCGTGCTGGGGCTGCACCGGCCCCGGCGGTTCCTGTTATGACTGAAGGATGCCCTCAGCAACCTCCAGGGGACCTTGTAAACCTGGTTCGTTACTCACAGGTCCTGGAGGGTACACGGCACAGCGAGGTCACAGCTGGGTGGTGCGGGGAGTATGGGCCTGGGGCTCCGCCTTTACGGGGGGCGAGGGTGTGGCAGGTTTGCTCTTTATAGGTGATATCGGTGAATGTAAAGCGTAAGAGGAGGAATTAAGGGGTGGGAAGGGAGAAGGGGGTCGCTGAAGCAGTCAGTTATCTGGGTCCTGAACGGGGGACCCCATGGGGGTGGCCTGGCCCCTCACCCAGCGGTTTTAGGGGTGACTGCATCTCATGGCTGCAGGGTGTTCACCCAGGTGGACGTCTGTGAATGGACCGAGCTCCTCACCACGATGTGTGCAGCACCCTTTCTTAGTGAATAAGACTTAGGACAGGAATTTAGAGCTGCCGACTGCTCCCTGCCCCGGGGGCCCCATCGAGGAGTGGAGTCCTGCTGCTCTGACCCATGGGCTCAGCGCCACCGGAGAGCTGGGAAGGCCGTGCGGAGGGACAGCGGGCGCCCCGGACTCCTGGGGCTGGGGGGCGATGGACAGAGTGGGCCGTGGGGTGACGCAGCCTCTGCCTCACAGATGTACGGGTCCCGGGACGGCAGCATCGACCAGGGCGCCCTGTCGTGCATCCTCAGGACTGCCTTGGGGGTGGCCGAGCTGAGCGTGGCCGAGCTTTTCCATGCCATCGACCAAGAGGAGACGGGGAAGATCACGTTTGGTGAGTGGCCGGGAGCAGGGAGGACGCCCCCGTGCATGAGGGGGAAACACTATTGTCCCGAACGAGGACATTCAAGGAAGGCCCTTCCCAAGCCTGGGCAGGGGGAGGGGGCTGGGGCTCCCAGTCTTGTTTCTGCAGGTGATCAGTGGAAGCAAGTTCCGAGCCCAGAACCCCCACGTAGACGCATCCCGACCCCGGGCCACGGTCGGCGGGGTCAGGCTCCCCGGTGGGGGAGGGAATCTATGCCAGCCCAGCGGGGCTGATCCTGGGGGCGTCTCCTGGGGGGTGGGTTGATGGCTTTGGAAATTGTCACCACAGAAAGCAGGGCGGCCGGGGTCCTTGGGGACCAGGGCTGAGACCTGTCTGGGGCTGAGGCAGGGAGGGGTGGGCAGCAGCACCCCCAGAAGGCGGCCCCACCCAGCACGCCAGCCAGCGTGCACATCTGAAGATGAACGCGTAATCTCCCTGAAATAAGAGACGTTTGCTCAGGAAAGGTCACTGTTCGCATCGTGTTTGGATGTGCTTTTAAATTGCATCCAAATGTCAGGCACGAGTGTTGGTTTAGGGGGTGTGTGTATGTGTGTGTGTCAGCATCATGGGGGGGCAGGCCTCCCAGGGAGCCAGGTACGGCCGCTCACAGTGAGCCCTGACCAACGGCAGCCATTCCCGGGGGACACTGGTCCCGCTTCCCAAGGGAACACAGGCGCATCTCCTACAGCCACCTGGAGCCCACTGTGCCCTGCGCCTGGGCCTCTGAGCATCACCAAGCCCTTGGGGGGGTGCTCTCACCCTGACACCAGGCCCGTGGCCACCAGGAGACACACGGGGGCAAAGGCTGCATGACAGCAGGGTGGCCCTCCATGCACCTGGCCTCCCCAGAGCACAGCCGCGTCCACCCACGCGCCTGCCTGGTGAGCAGTCAGGCCACCCGAGGATGCCTCTCCTCGCGTCTAAACCAGCGCTTGGGCGGAGGCCCCTTCCACGCCCAGCACCCAGAAAGCACCCGACCCGAACCTTCAGTTTCCCCGAAGCGGGAAGAGCCAAAAGGCCCGGCAGGTGCCCTGGTTCTCACAGCGGCTGCTGTGCGACAGAGGAAAACCGAAGTGGCGTGCGGGCCTCCGACACCCGCAGAGACGGCCTGCCGCCCCTGGGGGTGGGGAGACACCCGGGAAGACCCCAGACTCCAGGCCTTCGCCCCGTGGGCCATAACCAAGGTGCCTTTGTCTTTCCAGCCGACTTCGAGAGGTTTGCGGAAACGTACCCCGACTTTGCAGAGGAATACCTGTACCCCGACCAGACGCGCTTCCAGAGCGGCGCACAGACGCCCCCAGCCCTGACCGCCAACGGCTTCTGCACTGACTTCAGCCCCGAAAACGCGGGCATCGGGCCCGAGCCTTTGTGTAAGAAACTGGACTAGGACAGAAGGTTCTCCCCACCGCCGCCGCCCGGCTGCTGCGGCAACAGCGTCCGGTTTCGCCCTCCCACACGTGCTGTCCCCACCCTCAGGCCCGAGGACCTGGCGGGGCCAGCGCGCGGCCCTGTGCGGAGCACTGGAGGGAGTGGCCTGGTCTGCACACGGGGGCTCCTGGGGGCGTGTCCGGGCTCTCCCTCCGGCAGGTGCTCGAGGCCGGGCCCCCGGTGTCACTTTGTGCCCCCCCCCACCCTCCAGCATCCTGGGTTTCAGTTTCCATCCACCTCTCCCACCTGCCGCCCCCCGCCCCCGGCCCCGGTCCACTCTCGGCAGCTGGGCCCCGTGCGTGCATGCGCACTTGAGAAACGGGACGTGTCCCCTGCGTCTGATCCCAGCAGCGAGTCCCGACCGCCGAGGAGGCAGGGCAGAGCCGCCGTCTGATTTTTAAACATTTCTATATTTGCAGGAGCTCATGAGGATTTTATAAACTTCATTTAGATACTCCAGGAAACATTCAGCTTTTTTTTATAAAGAGAACATTGTTTTTCTACTTCGTTTTCCTTTGAGGGTCAGAGGATATTTATTTATATGCCCTTTTTTGATAGAACCTGAGGCTGCGTGGGGCTCTGAGCGCGCCTCCCCGGCCTCCCCTGGCCAGGCCGCTGCTTCTGCTGGGGCGCCGTGGGCGCCCGGCCCCAACCGCTCTCCTGCCTCCTTGATCCTTTTCAGATGCCGCTGTTTTTATTACTACTTGGGGTTTCTGTTGCAATATGGCAGAATCCACTCCGCCGTAGCGTCAACTCTAATCAGAGCGCCGGGTGCTGGTGAGATAAGTCAGGCAGAAGGTGGAAGCGGGAAGGGAGTCCCCAGGTCAGGAGCCCTGGGGGCCCGTGACGCTCCGGGAGGCCCGGCCATGGCTGAGTGTGCCCCCCCCACCCCCTGTGGCTCTGAGACCATGAGCCGTTGGTGGGGGAAGGTGTGGGCGCAGTGGGGACGGGCGGTGGGCGGCCGGGGGGCGGGACGCTGGGGCAGCAGCACCTTGGGCTTGGGAGGAAGCTCCCTGCCCTCTTACGAAGGCGCCTTGATTCCCTTCCTTGGGACGCAGTCAGAGACCTGCCATCAAGGCACAGTCACAACCACACACTCACCTTTGTCCCCTCAGGCAGAACCTCTGGGCTTCGTGGGGAAATTTATTTTAATTTCTGAGAAAATTGGATTTTTTCTTGGGGGCCTCTCTGTGGAAAGTGGCTGCCAGGGCCAGGAGCGCAGGGAAGACGTCTGCTGCTAACTTCCTGAGGCACAGAGGCTTGGCAAGAGGGAGGCGCCTCCGCTTCCGTTCATGCCGAGGCCCCTCCCGCCCCGGGTGGGGCCACCTGGCATCGTTCAGGGCGTCGGGCCCGCCGGACACAGAACCCCCAGCGCAGCCCTGGTGGCGAACAGGACTGACCTGGTGGTCGTGGAGCGCGTAAAGGTTCGCTTTGGAAGAGAACCCCGCACGTGGCATGAGGGAGGTGAACAAGCTGAGATGTTCTGAGGGAGGCCTCGGCCCCCGTCTGCGCATGAAGGGCTTTCGAATGAGGCGCCGCTGCGCGCTTTCAGGGAAAAGTCTCTGACAGACAGACCGTGAATGGATGTTTGTTCCTCCTGATTCTCCTTCACAGAACTGAGTTGCGGGCAGCCAGAGCGGGGGTGTACTTAGTCTGGGAGTCGAATCCGCGGAGGGTGAGGAGGGGGCGGCCACCCGCCTGCGGGGGTCCCGCCGGGGTCCGAGGGCGGGTGGGACGGGCACCCACAGGCAACTTCAGGTTTTCAGTGGAACGAATAAAACCTAGTTTATGTGCTTGCGGCTGTGTTTGTTACGTGTGGTTTTTTAATTAGAAAAACAGCAGACCTGACTTGGGCCGCGGCAGGCGCGCCAGCCCGGCTGAGATTTCTCTTGCTGCTCTTCCAGCATGTTGGGAAAACACAGCACTCGGAATTCTGCAGAGAAGGCTTTCTGGATCCCAAAGGGAAGGTCTGGATGTTTCCGTACCACGTGGATGGTGGCCAGCGTGTTACAGAACTCAACCTTGTACGGCTGTTTGCTGACCTGGAGCGTTGGCTTCTGCAGTTTCTCCGTGTCACACACACGCCTTAAACACGCGCTTTGTGGAGCAGAGAGAAACGTCAGTCTCGCACTTGGCCCGCCTCTTAAATCAGCGAAGGGTGTAGAAATAGACATAAGAGGAAGAGCTGACATGTTAATCCCCAAAACCGGATAAGAGAGGCGAGCTGCGTACGCGGCCACGGCTTCGGGATCGAGTGGCACTCGGGGCGCTGTTCCTGCGACAGCTCTGGGAAGCCGGTCAAGGGCGCGCGTGCGCGCGGACCCCGCCGGGCCGGAGCGGAGCGTGTGACCCGAGCCGAGCTGTTTACCTCTTCCTTCGTGCTCACAGGCACTTGCTCTTCCTGACATAGTAAACAGGCATTGCCTGTGTATTGGTTGAATCGTTCTCCTGTTGTTAAGTGAAGGAAGAGGCTAAAGCGAAGCCAGGGTCTGGTCATTCCCAACTCCCCGTCGGAGGACTGGAGAGCAGCCTCCGGGCGTCAGTGGTGGGGCCGGGGCGGTGGCTGCTCTGTGCCCCAAGATTTGGGTCAGCAAACAGTTCCTCCTCACCCGCCTCTTCTCAGGCGGCCCCCGGTCCGACAGCACAGCCCTGTCCTGGGGCCCCGCCAGGCACACACACAGGGATGGAGAGGGTGCTGGAGCTTCTGCACAAAAGCGAAGCGCACCAGCCCCTCAGGGTTCATGCGGGACCCTGTGTCCTGCAGACGAGGGCCATGCAGGGAGGCCAGGAATGCTCGCAGACACAGTCACACAAGCCACCCTCCAGCCCTGGGGGTCACAGCCCTGTGTTCCGCTGGGAAGCACTCTCAAAGTGTGGTGGAGATCACCCTGTTAGGACGGACCCCCTCACTGAAGCTTCGACGTCATCGGGCCAGCTGCTTCTGGGGGTGGGGGCCTGGTCAGAGCGTCAGGCTTCCCTGTGCTGTCAAGTTCACCCCTTCGTGACGTAACATGAGGCGGCAACGGGAGCCAGCCGCTCGCTGCGCCTGCAAGTGCTGCTGGCGGAGGCTCAGAGGCAGAGACGGCAGGTCTGGACCTGGAATAGCGTGTTAAAATGAGGACAAGCGTTTCCCCTCCTGGCAGGAGGGCCCAGCCAGGCGTGCTGCCACCCAGGGAGGGGGCCGCATCGGGAGCCAAGTCCTGGGCCGGCATCTGACAAGGGGGGTCCAGCCATGGCCCCCCCGGCCTGGGCTGTTCCTGGTCACTCGGCTCCGGTGTAGGATCTGGGACTCACCCCAGTCCCTCCTTCCAGAGCCACGTTGTCACACTGGGCTCTCTGGGGGGAGAGGCAGGCCCCACCCATCACGTGCACACTTGGGACAGGGCCACCCGAGACACAGACTCGGAGAAAATGCCACGAGCCTGTGTGGGGCAACGCGCCGCCCCAGCAAAGCACAGACCAACAGGGGACCTGACCGAAAAAACACCAAGCGTCCTGCCACGGCGACTGGAGTCCCAGCGGAGGCGAGATTAGGACAGAAAAAATACTGGACAGAATATTGGCCAGAGCTCCCTCAAATCTATCAGCACAGATACCCGAGCAGCTCAGTTAGCCCAGCAGGACAGTCGTAACCGAAACAGCAAAGCAGGTCACAAAAGATTCTGGAAGTTGGTGGCAGTGAAAGCAGCCAGAGAGTAAGTCAGCTAGACTGCAATTTAAAAAAGGGAAAAGGCAGGCAGGGAAAGAGCGCATCGTGGGGCCAGGCTAAGAGGAGTACACGTGGAGAGCAGGCTGTGCAGGGGGGTTAGTGTGATTTGAAGGCAGGTGGTGCACAGGTGAAAACGTGTTAAGTCTCCCAGGGAAAACACAGTGAAAACGTAGCGGTGTGACTAAAAAGCCAATAGCAGAAATAAAATGGGATTTTTAAAATGATAATTTCACTCAAACTGATCAGGAAAGTAAGGGGAGGGGGAGAAAGGACAGACAATAAACACAGAGCACAGCAAAGGGAAGGCTTGAATCCAGCTCTATCAGTAACCGCACGGAACACAGACTGAAGCTCCTAGACGACAGCTGCGAGGCCAGACTGAGCCACAGCCACCAACCTGGCTGCACGCCGTCTAAACACACCCTGAAAGTTTAAAAAAAGGGAAATATAATATGCAGACGTAACCACAAAAAGGCTGGTGTAGCAAGATTCAACCACACGAAGTGACCTTTAAGACGAGGAGAATCACGGTGTAGACAAACACTGAGCGATAGAAGGTTCAGTCCAGCTAAATGCGCGCGTCCCTCGCGACAGCTTAAAATACATTTAGCAAACAGGGGCGGAATGAAAAGGAGAAATAAACAAATCAGCAGAGCTGGAGATTTTAACACACTTCTCTCCGTGAGCAGTAGAACCACCAGGGAAAGAAACACAATTATACGGAAAATGTGACCAACGCCGTTTACCACATTGACTGAATGGCCATTAAACATGCACATAAAGCAGCTGATCAAATAGACCCTATGCTTGGCTAGAGAGTAAATTTCAAGACATCTTAAAATGTTTAAATCACACCAAGTACGCTCCCTCATTGAGAGGAAGCTCCCCACATTCCAGGGGCAGGACCGGGCTCCCAGCCCGCCAGCCGCACAGGAGCTGGCAGGTGTCCGCCCGGGGGCAGAGCAGCGCCAGGGCTGCAGCGCGGCCAGCCTCTGCCCCGTGGTTGCCAAGGGCCGCTCCGGCTCTGGGTAATTCTTTTAAACTTAGAGTGAACTAGTCCGCAATTTTGCTTCCAGTCAAGATGGCAAAACGGAGACTGGATTCGCCCTTCGTCCCAGAAGAGGTCACAGATGGAAACGCAGAGGGGTCTGCCTGAGTCGTGAAGAAAAAGTAACCCCTCCACAAACCCAAACCCAACCCCGGTCCCGCCAGACAGAGCTTAGAGGCAAGACCTGAAGGGACAGCCAACCCTCTGGGAGCAACTTCCCTACGGCCCAAGGTTCCAGAACACTCAGGGGAACACAGCCGTCCAGCACCCAGAGAGGAAAGCTTACAACCCCTCAGACCCAGCCAGAGGCCACCGGAGGCAAGACGAGCGGGAAGGAAGACCCGTAGGCCCCACAGCCACACCCAGAAGCGAGTCTGGCCATGGCACTGACAGTCCCGGTGCAGCATACCTGGGCCCCTCGTTCAAACGCCCGCTAGGAGCGAGAGCGACGGTGCTTGGCTGAGACTGAAAGGTGTCTTTTAAATAGCACACATGCAGATTCTGTCGGTGACAACCATGATGTTTGCAATGCAAGCTGCCCGGGTTGGGCTGGAGGGCGGATTCGACGCCACAGAGGAGCCAGCAAGCGCATGTGAGGACACAGCAGTGGAGACTATTCAGAGCAGCACAGAGAAGAGGGACAAGCAGCCGAGCTGAGCCCCAGCGAGCTGCGGGGCCTCCCGCCCCCCGACGCACGCGCTGCTGCGGCTCCCACAGGGAAAGGGCGAACAGAGAAGTATGCGGAGGAACACTTCCCCAGATGCGGCACGAACTGTAAACCCGTGGATCCGAGGAGCTCAGTGAATTCCAAGCACAAGAGCCGTGGAGGAAACTACATCAGGTGCATCGAAATCCACTGCTTAAAACAAAGAGAAAGTCAGAAACCAGAGGAAAAGGACACACTTCACGCAGAAGAACAGGGAGACACAGCGGATTTCTCTTCACAGACAACGGAAGCCAGAAGTCAGTGTCTGCCGAGTCTGCAGAGGAAAAGAGCACGGCCAGCCTGGATTCCTCACTCAGCAAAAATACCTTTCAAGGCAGAGGAATACAGATGTTTCCAGACACAAAAGCTGAAGGAATACACCACTGGCCAGCAGGCCTCGCCGCACAGTGTGAAAGCGAGTCCTTCAGGCAGGGGGGCAGTGACTCCACTTTGAAATCCGGATCCACACGGGGGGCGAGGGGGCGCAGACATGACGGTCACAAGGGCGGCTGTCAACACGGCTTCCTGCACTACTCAGGTCTCTTTCAGCAATGACTGACTGTCCAAAGCAAAGCGGGTGGTGTGTTCTGGGGCTCATGACACCTGGACAGCAATGGCGAGGCGCCAGGAGCGGTAAACAGAGTGCCCCTCGTGTGTCCTAAGGACGTGTGCAGCAGTGTGATGCCACTTGAAGGAGGCACCAAAATGACACGACAGATGTAGCTAAGGGTCCAACAAAGTGGGGAGAACGTGGCACTCAAGAAGAAAACCCTCAGGCTGAAGGGCAGCAGCGGCGGCGGTGCAGGGGAGAGGACGCAGTGCAGCAGACGGTGCGTCCCACCCAGCTGCGCCAGCACCGCACTCGCCGCACACGGTCGGACGGCCTCCGTGATCCGCGGAAATCATCAGGCCGGACACAAAAGCGAGACCCGAGCACACGAGGCCTACACGGAGCAGGCGTCAGGTGGACGCCAGCTGGCCAACGGAGAAGGGCGGCAGCCACGCCATCAGAAGAAGGAGGGGTGAGCGTCCCTCAGAGCCGGTTAGCAGGCCCGAGCAAGGTCATTTCACGACAAGAACTCAGGTCCCAGGAGACACAGCCCTAAGACACATCAGCGAGCCCCCACGTGAATGAAGCAAAGACGGCGGGACCACAGGCCCTACGAGGCCGCCCGCCCTCCCACGCACAGCGCTGTCGGCGCCTCTCCCCGCGACCGCGACCGAGCGGGCAAGGGGGCGGGGGCTTTGCAGGGAAACAACGCGAACTAACTTGCCCTCCGCGAGGGTTACACAGCGTTCACGCAGCATAACGGCGCACACAGTCTCCTCAAAAGCACG